GGCATCCCAAGGTAAAATTCAAGGACAACCAAAAGCCTAAGCTTGGGGATGCCCCGGAAGGCATCCCCACTTTCATCTTCGTCTATCGGTAACTTTACTTGAGGCTATATTTTTGTTCACCACATGATATGTGCTTTGCTTGGAGCGTCTTGTATGGTTTGAGTATTTGCTTTTCAGTTTACCACAATCATCTTTGCTGTACACACTTTTTGGGAGAGACATCATGAATCGGAATTTATTAGAATACTCTATGTGCTTCACTTATATCTTTTGAGCTAGACAATTTTGCTCTAGTGCTTCACTTATATCTTTTTAGAGCATGGCGATGGTTTTATTTTATAGAAATTGTTGATCTCTCATGCTTCACTTATATTATTTTGAGAGTCTTTTAGAACAGTATGGTAATTTGCTTTGGTTATAAAATTAGTCCTAATATGATGGGCATCTAAGATGGGTATAATAAAAACTTTCATATAAAGTGCATTGAATACCACGAGAAGTTTGATTCTTTATGATTGTTTTGAGATATGAAGATGGTGATATTAGAGTCATGCTAGTAGAGTAGTTGTGAAATTAAGAGATACTTGTGCTAAAGTTTGTGATTCCCGTAGCATGCACGTATGGTGAACCGTTATGTGATGAAGTTGAAGCATGATTTATTTATTGATTGTCTTCCTTATGAGTGGCGGTCGGGGACGAGCGATGATCTTTTCCTACCAATCTATCCCCCTAGAAGCATGCGTGTAGTACTTCGTTTCGATAATTAATAGATTTTTGCAATAAGTATGTGAGTTCTTTATGACTAATATTGAGTCCATGAATTATACGCACTCTCACCCTTCCACCATTGCTAACCTCTTTTGTGTCGTGCAACCTTCGCCGGTACCATACACCCACCATATACCTTCCTCAAAACAGCCACCATACCTACCTATTATGGCATTTTCATAGTCATTTCGAGATATCGCCATGCAACTTTCCACCATTCCGTTTATTATGACATGCTCCACCATTGTCATATTGCTTTGCATGATCATGTAGTTGACATCGTATTTGTGGCAAAGCCATCATTCATAATTTTTCATACATGCCACTCTTGAATCATTGCACATCCCGGTACCCCGCCAGAGGCATTCACATAGAGTCATATTTTGTTCTAAGTATCGAGTTGTAATTCTTGAGTTGTAAGTAAATAAAAAGTGTGATGATCTTCGTTATTAGAGCATTGTCCCAGTGAGGAAAGGATGATGGAGACTATGATTCCTCCACAAGTCAGGATGAGACTCCGGACGAAAAATAAAAAATAAAATAAAAAAAGAGGCCATAAAAAAGGAGAAAAGGCCCAAATAAAAAAATGAGAGAAAAAGAGAAAAGGGGCAATGCTACTATCCTTTTTCCACACTTGTGCTTCAAAGTAGCACCATGACCTTCATGATAGAGAGTCTCCTATTTTGTCACTTTCATATACTAGTGGTAATTTTTCATTATAGAACTTGGCTTGTATATTCCAATGATGGACTTCCTCAAAAGTGCCCTAGTTCTTCGTGAGCAAGCAAGTTGGATGCACACCCACTTAGTCTCTTTTTGAGCTTCATACACTTATAGCTCTAGTGCATCTGTTGTATGGCAATCACTACTCACTCACATTGATATCTATTGATAGGCATCTCCATAGCCCGTTGATACGCCTAGTTGATGTGAGACTATCTTCTCCTTTTTGTCTTCTCCACAACCACCATTCTATTCCACCTATAGTGTTATGTCCATGGCTCACACTCATGTATTGCGTGAAGATTGAAAAAGTTTGAGAACATCAAAAGTATGAAACAATTGCTTGGCTTGCCATCGGGGTTGTGCATGATTAAATATTTTGTATGATGAAGATAAAGCGTAACCAGACTATATGATTTGGCAGGGATAGCTTTCTTTGGCCATGTTATTTTGAAAAGATATGATTGCTTTGTTAGTATGCTTGAAGTATTATTATTTTTATGTCAATATTAAATTTTTGTCTTGAATCTTTCGGACCTGAACATTTATGCCACAATAATGAAAATTACATTGATAAATATGTTAGGTAGCATTCCACATCAAAAATTCTGTTTTTATCATTTACCTACTCGAGGACGAGCAGAAATTAAGCTTGGGGATGCTTGATACATCTCCAACGTATCTATAACTTTTGATTGTTCCATACTATTATATTATCTGTTTTGGATGTTTAATGGGCTTTAATATGCTCTTATATATTATTTTTTAGACTAACCTATTAACCGAAGGCCCAGCGCCAGTTTCTGTTTTTTTTTCTTATTTTAGAGTTTTGCAGAAAAGGAATACCAAACGGAGTCCAAAACGAAATGAAACCTCTGCGATGATCTTTCTTGGACCGAAAGCAAACCAGAAGACTTGGAGTTAAGTCGGAGACACAACGAGGCGTCCACGAGGCAGGAGGGCGCTCCCAGGGGGTAGGCGCGCCCCCCACCCTCGTGGGCCCCTCGTAGCTCCATCGACCTAGTTATTTCGCCTATATATACTCTTATACCCTAAAAACATCAGGGGGAGCCACGAAACCACTTTTCCACCACCGCAACCTTTTATACCCGTGAGATCCCATCTTGGGGACTTTTCCGGCGGTCTGTCGGAGGGGGAATCGATCACGGAGGGCTTCTACATCAACACCACTACCTCTCCGATGAAGCGTGAGTAGTTTACCACAGACCTTCGGATCCATAGTTATTAGCTAGATGGCTTCCCTCTCTTTGATCCTCAATACAAAGTTCTCCGCGATATTCTTGAAGATCTATTCGATGTAATATTCTTTTGCGGTGTGTTTGCCAAGATCTGATGAATTGTGAATTTATGATCAAGATTATCTATGAATATTATTTGGTTCTTCTCTGAATTCTTATATGCATGATTTGATATCTTTGCAAGTCTCTTCGAATTATCGGTTTAGTTTGGCGTACTAGATTGATCTTTCTTGCCATGGGAGAAGTGCTTAGCTTTGGGTTCAATCTTGCGGTGTCCTTTCCCAGTGATAGTAGGGGTAGCAAGGCACGTACTGTATTGTTGCCATCGAGGATAAAAAGATGGGGTTTATATCATATTGCTTTAGTTTATCCATCTACATCATGTCATCTTGGTTAATGCGTTACTCCGTTCTTATGAACTTAATACTCTAGATGCATGCTGGATAGCCGTCCGTGTGTGGAGTAATAGTAGTAGATGCAGGCAGGAGTCGGTCTACTCGACACGGACGTGATGCTATGTTCATGATCATTGCCTTAGATGTCATCATAATTATGCGCTTTTCTATCAATTGCTTGGCGGTAACTTGTTCACCCACCGTAATACATGCTATCTCAGCAGAAGCCACTAGTGAAATCTATGGCCCCCGGGTCTTTTTTCCATTATATTGCATCTCTTTTCCATTATATTGAATCTCGTTTACATCTTGCTAGTTTCCGATCTACTCCCTATGTTTCTAAATATTTGTCATTTTAGAGATTCCAAATGGACTATCACATACAGATGTATATAGACATATTTTATAGTGTAGATTCACTTATTTTGCTCCGTATGTAGTCACTTGTTTAAATCTCTAGAAAGACAAATATTTAGGAACGGAGGGAGTACTATTTTGCAATCTTTACTTTCCAATCTATACATCAAAAATACAAAAAATATTACTTACTATCTCTATCAGATCTCACTTTTGCGAGTGACCGTGATGGGATTGACAACCCCTTATCGCGTTGGTTACAAGTTCTTGATTGTTTGTGCATGTATTCGGTGACTTGTGCGTCGTTTCCTACTGGATTGATATCTTGGTTCTCAAAAACTGAGGAAAATACTTACGCTACTTTGCTGCATCACTCTTTCCTCTTTAAGGGAAAACCGATGCAAGCTCAAGATTTAGCAACAGCTTCTAGGTGCTGCAACAACAAAGGCCGTCGACATGCTTCAAGACGACGTCGTTTTTGCTACGGGAGCGATGGCTTAGTGCTGGACCAGCAAGGACAGAAGCTGCGACGGCGACGAGGAGGCGAGTGCATCCAGCAGCGTGGGGCGGCGGAGGAAGGAAGTCCAGGTGAGCGGGTGGTGGCTGGTGGCCGGGAGGACGTCCAGTCGATGCGGGGTAGTGCTCGCGCTGCGTACGGAGAGAGAGAAAGATACTGGGGGAAGTCAACGCGTAGATCGAATGGCTGGGCTCGCTGCATCGGCCGCCCACGCGTAGATCAAACGGCTGGGCTCGCTGCATCGGGCGGCTGCGCCGGCGCTCAGTACTGCCCTTCGGCTAAAGGGGATGGTCTCAGAAGAATAGGAACGCGTCGAAAAACGCATGCACAAACAATACTGCCTGCCTGCACAGAAGACAGCCTGACATCTCGCCTCACCCGATTTACAGCTCAACTCCTGACAACTAGCCTCTTACTTTCTTGAACTAAGACGCAAATTTGAAGTCCCAACCCAAATCATCATATTCATAGTACACAGCAAGCCGCTACTGGCGTTATCATTAGTGTACTACTCCCTCCGTTCCTAAATATTTGTCTTTTAGAGATTTCAAATTGACTACCACATACGGATGTATATAGACATATTTTAGAGTGTGGATTCATTCATTTTGCTTCGTATGTAGTCACTTGTTGAAATCTCTAGAAAAACAAATATTTAGAAACGGAGGGAGTACACTCTAATCGATTATTTTGACGCCACCTGAGAGACCCCTGCACATGATCAGACCAGTACTGGTACGGGTGTCCCGCAAACAGGTAAGCAATTTAAAGCCTGACGCAAGCACCGACCTGGCGGCAGGTGGCGACATTTATCTGAATCCAAAATATGCAACACCGGTTCCATGTTCCAAGTCACTGCGCCAAGTGACACAGTTGAGCAACGAGTGCCAGTTTGACAGACACATACACCGGGCGGGCACACGAACAGATCGAGAATATTACAAACAAGACTGACTCCAGCGATCCGTGCGCCGTCTTACATTACATGGCATACCTTTGCGTCCAGGTCCTGGCGGTGCTCTCATACTTGTGCCGGTCCGTCTTGTACATGTGAGCGATCTCAGGAACCAGAGGATCGTCAGGGTTTGGGTCACACAGCAGGGAGCAGATGGACAGCAGCACCTGCATGTATGTAACCCGACAGAGTAGCAGATGAGCTCAACTCTCACCGTGAAGAACAAAGCAATTACAACCAACTTGCACCGGTGAGGGAGAGGAAACTAGCAAACCTTGGAAATGGTCAGAGCGGGGCTCCATTGGTCCTTGAGGATGTCCAGACAAATGCTCCCGTTGCTGTTGATGTTTGGATGGAACACCTTGGTGCGGAATGCCACCTGCATGTTGCATAAGGAAGAGCGTTCATACTTTGCATTTTTTTGTAAAAGCTATGGATGATATTTCAGTATGGCAAGTAAACTTCCCGACTGAAACTTTTAAGCTTTTGCACAAGATAATCAGAAACCATAGAGCTTCGATAACTTTTCAGTTCAGTTAGTTGTTTGCCTTACGAATAAGCGGATGAACACCTAAGTGATTAATGTGGCCACACAACTACTGCAAAGCAATTCAGTAGTTATAAACAACCCAGAAAAAGTGTGCGTGTGTGTACACTGCAAAGACTTCAAACTTCATGAGAATACAACTGATGTACCACTACAGACACTGCAGTTTGCATTCAGTTTTGTAGAACTACACGCGCAATTTGCCAACTCTATATATAATAATCTAAATGAAGCCTCATCTTACCCAAACACATACATCAAATCCACCTTGCTTGGTAATTGCCGCCAAAATTTGTCATTCAGAACCACTTCACATGAAATGGCTCCTTCTAAGCCATCAAATGTCTTCAGCAAGTGTGCTTAGAGGCATGGCGCCTGACCGTTAATCTATTACAGAGTACTTATAGACATGGATTTCTATTCTATGTCTACCACACATTTGAAACCCATTTAAGGCTTTATAAAAGACTAGAAAAGAAAGCCAAAAAGATAAACCGAACCGATTAACTAAATAAAATTGTGTGTTACCAACACAAACAGAAATGAACCACATCTGTCAGAGTTCCATTCTTAGATGTGAACTGTGAAATGACCTCAGGCATATACGATTCAAAATTTTACAAAATACATATGAAACAGAAGAAATGCACAGAAACAACTGACAATTAGGCCAATGCCAAGTACCTTTGGTGGTTTGAAAGGATAATCAGGAGGGAAGTGGATAGTAACTAGGAAAACTCCACCGGAATATGGGCTGTCAGATGGGCCCATTATTGTTGCCTGCCAATGGAACATATCTTCACCCACAGGGCCTGTAAAATAGTATCATATCATCATCAACTAGCTATGTTCACATTATAACCATCTTATCTAATAGACATGTTGACTAGCTATAGTTGACACAGAAATGAACTTGCAAGAAGACTAGGGGTATCAAACAATGTCAAACAAAACAAATTGATGGGAAAAAATGACTATAACAAAATTTACATCAGTGTTACTTGATTGGCCCAAGATAACTGGATTTCAAATTCGCACACCATCCAAAAAGCATTGTGCGGTCAAGTAAGAAATATTAATTGGCGATACATCTAAGACAATTCTACATACAGTTGTACCCTGAGATAATTCTGCGTAATAAATTTTAGTTTCATATCAAATATAGTATAATTGCATAATAAAAATGGTATTATGCAGACATTTTTTTTTTCCTCAAGCCACAGAAACAAAAATATTTTTGAACTGCTAGCCCGTGTGGTTGCATGAGTTGGGAGTAGTTACACTAGTGTGCCGAGCTCATAAGATTGCATATTCAAGTGCACATCGGCAAACAAAATGTAGAATAGTCACAAGCATGGTCAATTTTTTGCTTAAAGACTTGCCCCCCCCCCCCGGGCCCCCGCGTCGCTCCCAGGGGGCGACTCGGGTGGCGAAACCCTAGCCGCCGCCCCAAGCCCCCCTCCTCCCCTCGCCGTCGCCGGAGGATGCTGGCGGGCGAAGCCCTCGCCGGTGGATGGCGGCGGCGGGGCCCTTGTTCGTGGGCTCGCGCACTGCTCTTTGGTGTGTCGGAGCGGCGGGAGCGCGCGGTGGCGAGGCAGGCAGTTGTCTGTGCTCAGGGGAGGTCGTGATGATGTGGATCGCGCGCGGTGGCGCTGCT